AAATCGGTGAACTGACACCCACTTTATTCCTTGTTGAAAATAGTTTGCATTCGATTATCAATAATCCGTGAAATTGAGGTTACATTGAGATGAATGAGCAAAGCGTAAGCCACGATCATAATTTGCTTGTGAGCGCGGGAAGCATCTAATCAAAATCTGAATTTCTTATCAAAATTCCAATATTAATGACGCGTTCTTGCTGTAAAACTACTCAGGCAAGAGAGATAAATCCTCACCTAGAAAAACTATGATCATTTTCAAAGAAATCAGCTGAAACTGAGAAAGTGCTCAGGGGAAGAAGTAATTGTTTAACCTTTGTGTGTGTAAAGCCATCTCTAAATCATAATGTTTAGAATGTTGGACACTTAAGTAACTGAGAATATTATACTTTTTTATTTATTAAAAATTCATAGTACAGGATGGAAACACCTTCATTTGGCAACAGTCTCAAACATTTCTTGTAATTGCACAAAGGTCAAAAGGAATTTTGTACCATTCTTTACAAAAATCTTAGTTGCAACTTCTGTTGAGTTTTAATGGGCTCCACTTTAGTTTCATCCACAGAACATTTGCCAGTTATGTTTTGGAATGTTGTGTTGTGGAGGGGAGCTCTAACCAACCCCTTCAATCTCATCTCATTGATTGGCCTCCAAGTTAGATGACTGCTTAATCAAAAATCAAGGGATTCACATACTTTTTTCACCCAACACTGTGAATGTTTACATGGTGTGTCCAATAAAGACATGAAAATGTATTATTGATTAACATTGATTTCCAACTGTGCACACTCTTTTTGTTGCTTGTAAAAATTCTGCTTATGCAGAAATCCCTCCAGGTAAATCCAAAAGGCTCACATACTTTTCCCGACAGCTAATAATACAAAAAAGGGACAAATCCATAGTGTCTTCACATTTTCGTACAAAAACTGCCATCACTCTGTGGACAACAGTGCACTTTATCTGATATGAGCCTGAAGACTCACAAGCCATTAGCTCACCAGTGTTTCCACTATATATTTTGCTAAGCGTCTTCCCGAGTCGTCATTTACGCCATCCATCCATCCCAAGATCAATAGTGTGCACTTGCATTAGAGACACATGTAGGACCAAGTGGACTGACCATATGGAAGCAGGCATAAAGAGCAGCCTGCATTGTCAGATCAATAATGAATATCTTTTAAAGCATTATGCTTTTCTGAGCATGATTCGCACTACATTTAAGAGGATGGCAAATGTCAATGACTTTCAAAAGTTTCCAAAAAAAAAAAAAACATACATTTTGACCCAATAAATGACAGATGGTTTCGTACCCATCTCTTCCTGAATGTATTCCGTCAGGTTGTCATGGTAGGGTACAATGACCAAAAAAACAAAACAAAAAAAACACCACAACGGCTGTCAGTTTGGTAAAGGAGGAAAATGGCAAATGAATTTTGAATATATATGTGCTCCCACACTAACTCATCAAATTACAATGCAGATTCAATTTTGAATGTCTGGCATAAATTTGGCTTGAAGTTGGACATTCCATATTCGCAAATTTAGGGACCGTCTCTGAGCAGTACCGAATGGGCTCAAACGCAAATTTAAAGCTCAATAGCATTTGAGCAGAATGACTTACAGTCATAAAAACAACTGTAAACTGTTCATCTAGGTGTCAACTATAATGCACACCTTTTACATTTTTTATATTTATGAAAATAAACTGTAAATCACATGTAAAAATTGCTATTTTTCACTACCTAATGGGCTCAAATGCAAAATATGCCATAATTTAAAGCTCAATAGCATTTGAGGAGAATGACTTACAGTCATAAAAACAAACTGTAAAGTGTTCATCTAGTTGTCAACTATAATGCACACCTTTTTACATTTTTTATATTTATTAAAATCTACTGTAAATCATATGTAAAAATTGCTATTTTTACAGTAACAAAAAAGTGAACCAAATCAAATATGGTACATTTTAGTATAACAGTAAATATTCTAATGTTTTACAATGGATTACTGAAGAAAAGACCAAAAAACTAATACAATAATAAAATATTTACAGTTAAGCTTTTTTGTTTGTTTGTTTTTTTCAAAATTTTACATTTAATTCAATGTCACTTGACATTTCTTGTTTGTGAGATTTACTTGCAATTTCTGGAAAATTGTTTCTATATCTTTTTTTTTCAGTGTACAATATGTTGATGTTTGTCCTGTTATTTAAGGAGGCCACATAATATATGTTGAAATGTTTTGACAGTAAACAGTAATTAACTGGCTAGTTGATGGTGCAGGATACTTTCTTGCTTCATTCTAGAAATGTAGTCCTTCAATTGTAGACTGCTTAGCATTTTAGCCAGCATGTTTAAACAGTATTTGTCGTAGGTGAAGTGACTGGCTGACTGCCATACATTTACTAATCCAGACGCTAAAGCACTGGCTGCTTTATTTAGCTCCATGTGTTGATGTATTTCATTTAGATCAGTCCATTTCTTTGAAGTTGGATGTACAGCGCGGGAGGCTTGTAATCAATTTACTTAATGACGTCTTACTGTAGCAAAATCATCGCATTTCCGTACTCAATTATGCAGCTCAATTAGCAAATACCTGCAGAGTTTTTTTTTTATGATTGATTCTTAAACATCAAAAATAACTGTCCATCTGTTTTCATTGCTGATAAAAGACTGTTACTTAAAGCAATAAAAGGAATACATCTAATTGAATGCCAGGAGCGTTTAGTTACCAATTCTTATGTTATGCAATTGTTGCATTTCCTTCTTTGTTTGCTTTGTGAAATATGTCAGAAGTAATTACAATGAAATTTGTGCAGTGATAGGAGTAATGTAATGTAAAAGTTTGCAGATAAAGATTAATTGACTGGCTGGTTCTCAGAGAAACCCTGCCTCTCAGAGGCACGAGAAATTACAATCTCTCCTTATTAGCAGAGAGGAATGGGCCGAGCAGCAGAGCCACTGCAATATGAAATGACTCACTACTACAATGAGGGCACAGAGGTTAATTAACAAAGCATCTAACTGGATGGGATCCATTTTTTTTTTTAGTTTTTTTTTTTTAAGTTTTCTTCTGTTTGTTTTCAGTCGGATATTGTGTTTTCATGAATGAATTATACATTATGCGTTGGTTTAAAAACTAGACTTCTTAATTTGACGCTTCTACTATTTCAGTGCTCCATGGGACATTATGACCTGTATTACAGTACAACTGGACAATCACAAATGTAGAATAATTTTGAACCTTGTGATCATCATTTAATTCTGATTATTGTATCAGAAATGCAAGATCGAGCATGACATGAGGGGGCATGTGTACGGCAGACCAATTACTAAAACAACCAATCAGTCAATAAATCAAGTACCCCAAACCTTATGTATCTAAAATACATTTTAATCTTGCTCAAATTCACAATTGTTACAATTTGTAATTCAGTGGTAGTACCTCCCTCCTTTAATTCAATTGAACTGTGTGAGGACACAAGAAAGCACTTGCCGTCAGGATTGTTGAGAAGGTTGTGATGGGAAACTTGGATGAGTGGTTTTAGTGATTAGAACGAGCTCATTTATGAGATTATAATGAAAATGAATCATTCACATTGTGGTCTTTTATTCTCATTTAGAAGCGTATAACATGTTATTGGGTAAATGATGAAATATATTAAATGTTTCATTTGCTCAAATAGTTGTACGGTGTATGTATTACGCTGTATGGTGTATGTATCACTCCTGCATACGAGATCAGAACGATTTCATAAGACTTTGTTTAATAAGACCTCAATGGCATCAGTGAATATAAAGATCAGTTCACCTTAATAAGGAATAACTGGTCTCTCTGCTCCCTCTAAAGGACAACAAAAAAGGCAATTTTACTTGCACTTTTGGAAATGGATTTGACTGTAAACAAGTTCCCATGGGGGAGGGGGCACTATTGGGAGACCAGCATGACAATTAGCCATTGAAAAACACAATCATGACAAACGGCTCCCAAAAGGGTTTATGCAGAATGACTGCTGTCACTGTAATATGCACAGAGGACCAAATAAGAAGAAATAAAGCGTGTCTTTGGGGCTACAAAACACAATGCAATGATGCGAAGACTCTATTTTTCCTAGAACAGTACTACTATTCAGATACAGAAATAAGATTCACCAGGGGTCATAATGTGGACATGATGCTTTCTCTTTTATTGACAGCAATCAAAGAAGAACTGTGGACGTGTAGACTGGTGACCTGTCAAAATATGTTATTTAGGATGTTATCGTCATTGTATATAGCACCAGAAACATATTAAGAGTCCAGTTATAAAATGTTTTTTTTTTTTTTGCATTTATCAAAATTCATACTGTAACTATAATATCAACATAATAATAGGAGGAAAGTTTATATGAATACATGTGCAAAAGTTGAAATCAATAAATATGCAAAAGTGAATTTTTCCTCTTATTTTACATATAAAGATAGGTCCACTTCTGATATCTATGTATATATATATATATATATATATTAGTTATATTAAAGAGTAGAAAGTGCAAAATCATAAATATTTAGTAATAAATAATAAATGGTTTGTTTTAAACTTTTCAGAAATCTACTACCTTCTGTTTATTTACAGGTTTACATTTTTTATCTTTATTTTTTTTTCTTCAGTGTGGACACCTTAGAACCTCACTGTATCTGTTCTTGGATGCTGCTGCCTCAGTATAATTATCACATAATCATTTTTGTCACGTGAACATAAATGTAATCATATACTGTGATATCATCATTCTAACATAAAACACAATAATTCTGACAATTGTCATGACCAGATTAGCTGGATTGCGGTTCACATAAAATTAATGAGATGACTCTGACTCTTAAAAAGAGATGAGAGGCTTCGGAACACTATTCACATACCATTTCAGTAAGACCCTTTCTGTTGACTACTCCTGACTGAGCCTCCTTCGTCTGCCGAACGCCTGGGAGCCCACGTTAGTGGGGACAAATTTGCTGCTTCCAATTCCCCCCGAGCGGCTCAGGAAGTCTGCCAGGCGATGGGTCACACATGTGGCCGTGTTACAAGCTCTCTTCTGTGTCGTAACACTAGAGGGGGAAAAATATTGGGAATTGAAATATTAATTGAAGCAATGAATGCAACATATTACAATTAAGAATTTGAAATGTAGAAAATGAATGTATTAAATATATTTGACAAAAAGAAAAATGGCTGCAGTAATGTATCTTACCTAAAATGGGTACTTATGCCTGATTGCATCATTTTTTTATTAAATTAAAAATGGTTGTTCATTTCTGAGCTTTAAACAACAATAAGCAAGAAAGATCTCCTTCTAAAAATATCTTTATTAGATCAAGAACAAAGTCAAATCACACAAGACAGGAATTTTGCTGTGGGTTAAAAAAAGCTCATCGTTATGCCCTATCTACCAATGAGAGCTACCCAATTTCATGAATCAGTTATATAACCCAAATAGATCCAGTGACTATATGAAATTAGTGGAACAGAGTCTGTCTGTTATTTTCTACTCTGCCAAAGAAAGTAGAAAAAAATGTTCTTTCAAGTCAATCAGGCAAGCAAACTTCCACATGCACTCGCATATCAGGGCCAAGCACGGGTTTACAGCCGCTGCCGATTAGACACGATTGAGCGCCTCTCCAGCCAACACATCACTTGCTTCCAGGCTGCGCTTCTTGCCCGGTGTGCCTGCTCCTACATTGGTGCGTGGATATGTCTGTAGTTTGTGCAGCTCCTGGGACAGTTTCCCCAGCACGCAAGTGCTGAGGCTGGAGCAGCGCTTGGACACGGCTCTACCCAGGCTGTGAGGAAACAGACCACATGCAGAGAAACTCACAGACATGTAGACATGCAAGAGCATTCACATACACGATAGACATGATGAAAGGATGCATGTTGACATGCTTCCTCGCGCGGCTGTCATTATGGTCTCGTAAAACAAATCATGCTTCAATAATTCATTTCTGCTGCACTTTTCATGTCTTTACTTGAGCATATCATGCAGGCATTTTCTCACATGTTTTCAGATCATGCTTCCGTCCATGCCGTTTGATATACTCGTTTTCATGCATTAAGAGCAAACAAGAATTTATAAACTGCCAATCTCTCATAAATCTGATGGATAAATAAAGTTTCATGCAGAGAATAAATTGGCAGAGGACTCTGCAGCTTAGAAAACATAAAAAAATGAATCCCCATATCTGTACAGAAATTCATCACATACCTGCCATATACAACAAGTACAAGTACACCTGACATTAAGGAGGTATTGCTCTCATGTTGAAGGGAATTTCGGGCTTACTTTCTTAAATATGAGAGAAACAAATCAGTGCACACTCACTAAATTATTCTACAGATTGCGTTTGGAACGATTCGAGAAGTACTATGGGATTTGTACCTGTTTTCTTCAGCTGCTTGTTGCTCCATGTCCTCTGCAGTCATCTGCATGAATTCTTTGACGATTGCGTGCAGCAATCTTCTCGCTTCGTAGTCGGTAAGCATAGTTCGATCTGGTGATGATTCCAGTGCAGGCCTGCAATGCAGCGTCTTTGTGATTATCATATCTTAGAGGACTATGCAAACGGTTTGTGTGAGGTATTCTTCTTTCTTATTTTTTTGCATGATAAAAGCACTTTTTGCTTGCTACATCAAATCCTAAACATAATCAAAACAATCTGCTAAGAGTATGGCACTTAAAAGCTGTCCAGTTGCCAAGTTTAGATTTATCACACGATCAATACTGTCGTAAGCAGAGTGGGTTTGGCTGGGATTCATCTGATGTAATCAGAAGACTGATAGTCCATGATGCCGCAACCTCTAATGAAAACATATGCTCTCTTGCCTCCATCCGAACGACTTTACCAAGGCACCAATTTCACTTATAAATATTTTTAGCTAATTTACGGAATTATCAAAGGAAAAAACACTGTCCTTTAAGCATTTATCAACATGGCAATATGTTTCTTATAAATCCTCCTCACCTGGCAGGAGCTGCATTAGAGCTGTACATCTGGCAAATAATCAGAGCGTAGGCAACAAGGAAAGCAGAGATCTTCAACATAACCATGGTCCCCTGTGGTGAAACATTTCATCATTAGATAGTTTAAGAACAGACCAAAAAAGATGACAAAATTTGGTAAAGCCCTTACTAGTGAAAAAGTTGAAAATGCATTTTCAGTTTTTTTTAGCTGAAAATTTCATTTTCTTCCTGTCTATTAATCTATCCGTTTTTATTCCCCTCAAACCTCTCCCGCTTTTCAATGTCACTGGCACACTATTTCACCAAGCTTGAAAACTAAAATAATATTTGAAAAGTTCTTCTCCTCTCTTCTTCTACTTCTCCTATTTACTGCAGAAGAACCAGAGCTTGTGTGGTTGGTGCAGACGTCTCCTACTGTCAGGCGCTATGCTATAACTGCAGCATTAAAGATATTAGTCTCGTGATTTCCCTTCCAGCAGGACCCTGTGCATTAGTGTAATGAGCTGCTGTCTCTGCACCCACAGCCAGGTCTAAGGATTCATCCAATTCTCCTTGAAAAAAAATCCATTGAGCATGCTTTCTGTGCAACTACAGAGCCAAAGAGTAATGTATATACCATCAAGCACTCCTACCATTTTATTTAGTTCATTTACACACGTCTATAGTACAGTATATTTAGAATGATAAAAAGCATGGCACATCTATTATGTGTCAAGCCATAAATAGTTGTTACTTACCTTGAGATGTTCGGCTTCGTGCAATAGATATAGAAAAGAGTCGTCCCAAAATAGAGGGGATATTTCAACTTGACGAAATTTTGTGTCTGTTGAATTAAGCTACAATACAGCTGCCTATATACCCTCCATGTGGGTCTCACTGTTGACAGTGTGGGTGTTTAATGATTCTCTGACAGCCAACCAGAGCTCACTGTTCCCTTATCCAACCAATCAGATTGTCTTCGGGCTTCTGGAAAATGATAAAGAGTGTGTCACACCAATGACGTCATTCTTCAATCACAAACTGCTCCATTCACAAAAATTCACCAGTGATCAGCAAAATTCAATATTGTTTGGAAAAAAAAATGTAAGTGAACTATTTAGAGAAAGTCTATGATCTGTTTTACCGTTTTGATAATTAGTGCCAACCTGATGCAAAACTGTTGGTTGTGATCTACCTATTTATCTACGTGTCTGTCTGTCTGTCTAGCATTGTGTCTTTACATCCTGTATGTGATATGGCGCTATTACACATATAGATTTTGCATGATACTTCATTTTCTTTTTTTTTTTTTTAATTATGATAACTGTTCAGAAAACCTTGAGTAAAGCATATGCACCAAACTGTTATGGCTACATACTTAAAGAGCAGAGAGGAAAAGGCACAAGGCTTATGTGTGACATTTTCATGAATCCATTTCAAATTACGTGCAAGACAAATGCTGATGGTGGAAAACAAACTCAAATACCCTTTCACTGTGTATCCTGTAATAATGTGTGAGATCAATTGCAACATTGCTCTTGTCCTTATTTGGGTTTCCATGATGATGTGACCCTTTGTCAGAATCAAAGAGGTTAAGACCATAACAAGCCTGCTATCTTAGCCTGCCAATTACACAGCTCTTTGTCTTGAGGCATCATCTGACTCCTCTTCTTTATTGGCTGAGGCCTAATAAACCATTTCCACTAAGAGACAGTGTTTGCGTCACACAGGAACCCCATTAGTCTGGATGAGCCTTTTAGTGCTATCGAACCCAAAGCCTCGCCAGTGACGGAATCAGTAAATCTGGGCAACGTGACAGGACCAGGGACCCCTGCTACGGGCGCAAACTACACTTGCACGTGTGATGAACTCCTTTTGCCTAATGAAGGGTCATTTCCGCTAGAGGAACACTTTGCTGAGACTTACCATTGTCCATAGATCAGTGAGTAAGCAAACAAATTAAGCCAGCAAGTTTTCCTTTCCTGCGTGAAACTTTGGAGTCGATACTGTAACCTTTCAAATTTGGTCACGCTTTGACATCACTCACTCCACCCGGCCTTGTGCAAGTTATTTCAGAAGACAGATAATCATTTTGCTTCGAGGCAGATGATGTCCTTTTGGATTACGTTCATTCATGGGCGGCATTCGCCTTTGACACACTTCCTGAGTTAATTTGAGGAACGGTATCGCTAACAGCAGCTGTTATCATGGTGCAGGAGACGTCCGACAAAGCACTTTTGGACTGCACGCCTGTTTAAACACCTGCAGATGGAAGCGAACAGGGATTAAGTGTGATTTGTAATGACTCTGAGAGAAAAACTAAACACAATCCATAACCCTCTCTGAGACAAAGAGTAGCACTAAATGGTCAGCGAGGAGCCAGCACAGTTCATCCTTAGACATTAAGGAAATGAGATTTAATCACTGAGTGTTGCTCATCAATCAACCCACTTTAGTGAGTTAGAGTTCATCATAATCTCGTCTGTGTGCTTTACTGATCACACACAATCCTTTTATTTAGACTGCATTAACAACCAATGGCATCATCTGACTGGGATTGGATGGGTATGAGCGGGGCCCATTCAGAACTGCTTACTGCATGTGCAACACTACAGCAAAATGCACTATACAGGCAAAAGCTATTTCTGAATCACGGTGTCCTCCATTACTAATTTCCTTTTTGGCCTCTTCTTTTGCTAAAATCACAGCAAAGGATTTCTTTTCATAATGTGCCGTTGCTCCTCTGAGGTCTCACTTTCCTTTATTGATTAATCTATGTTGACTGACTTCCCTCTGCTATAGCAAATCCATCATAAGATGTGTTTCTTATGGGAGGATGTATTGAATGTTCTAGATGTCCTCATTATATATCACAAACACTGCAGTCTTTGAACAGAATCCTCTGAGACTTGCTGGATTTATCTATCCATACTGATCCATACACATTTCTACTGAGAAAACCAGTATGATTTGTAACCCTGGACCACGAAACCAGTCTTAAGTCGCTGGGGTATATTTGTAGCAATAGCCAAAAATATATTGTATGGGTCAAAATTATAGATTTTTCTTTTATGCCAAAAATCATTAGGATATTAAGTAAAGATCATGTTCCATGAAGATATTTTGCAAATTTCCTCCTGTAAATATATTAAAACTTAATTTTTGATTAGTAATATGCATTGCTAAGGACTTCATTTGGACAACTTTAAAGGCGATTTTCTCAATATTTAGATTTTTTTGTACCCTATTCCAGATTTTCAAATAGTTGTATCTCGGCCAAATATTGTCCTATCATAACAAACCATACATCAATGGAAAGCTTATTTATTCAGCTTTCAGATGAAATTGGTCCTGGGTCACATTTATGATCGAATGAATATGTGATTGATTACTATAGTTAACAGTGTTATACTTCATTCACACATCCTTTAAAAGTATAAAAACATGCAGAGGTTGGTTTGATTTCTGTTATGTACATTCTGTTATGTAAGACATTTGCTTTGTTTTTCCTTTTCAAACCTATTACGTTCTCAAGGCAGTATTTCCCACAATACACAGTTTATAAATATCAGCTCATGCAATTTTTATAGGTTGCAATTAAGATAAAAGGTTTATGCCACTCTGAAGGCACTACTCCCTGTTTTCTGAGGTGCTGTTCATTGGTAACATTTATTTATTTGTTTGTTTGTTGCTTTTTTTAATTGTTGGTTGGATTAATATAAAAACAATTTCCTAATTAAATATGAGTAATACATTACAATATTTATGATGAACTACTGAGTTTTAAATATTAATGATTCTGCAGTGCCTAGCACTTGATAATATCATCAAACCCTTTATATGCTTATAAATGCTTACATACATTATACATGGAGCAGAAGCATAATGCTTTTGTTAAAGTAATTAAATACACCCACATCACAGTAGGTTATAAATAAAGCTGAGAAATGTGCTGAGAATGTGCAGGCCACTGCTTGGTTAAAATAGCCACAAAAAAAAAAACGCTGACATAACTGGAGAGGGAAGTTTCAAGCCATGAGGTCAAAGTTTGTAGCACAAATTTTACAGTGCAAACGTGTCAGACCACAAAACTGGCTTTACTCAGTTTACTCTTAAAGCCTGTTTCTCTCACTTGTCATGAAAATGAACTGCCTGGATGTTCTGGCCCGGGCAGTCCTTTTTAAACTTAATTTTAAATTTACCATTATCGTAAATCTTTAACTCTCTGTTGAATGTTGAAGTCTTCGGAACTTAAAGGGGTCATATGATGCTGCTAAAAATAACATTATTTGGTGTATTTGGTGTAATGAAATGTGTTTATGCGGTTTAAGGTTAAAAAACACATTATTTTCCACATACTGTACATTATT